ACTACTAAATAACCCAGAGATCTCTGAAGAAATCAAAGAGGGAATTAACAAATACCTAGAAAAAAATGACAATGAAAACACAACCACCCAAAACCTATGGGATGCAGCAAAAGCAGTTCTAAGAGAAAAGTTTATAGCAATACAATATTACCTCATGAAACAAGAAAAATCTCAAATAAACAACCTAACCTTACACCTAAAGCAATTAGAGAAAGAAGAACAAAAAAACCCCAAAGTTAGCAGAAGCAAAGAAATCATAAGATCAGATCAGAAATAAATGAAAAAGAAATGAAGGAAACAATAGCAAAGATCAATAAAACTAAAAGCTGGTTCTTTGAGAAGATAAACAAAATTGATAAACCATTAGCCAGACTCATCAAGAAAAAAGGGAGAAGACTCAAATCAACAGAATTAGAAATGAAAAAGGAGAAGTAACAACTGACACTGAAGAAATTCAAAGGATCATGAGAGATTACTACAAGCAACTATATGCCAATAAAATGGACAACCTGGAAGAAATGGACACATTCTTAGAAAAGCAGAACCTTCCGAGACTGAACCAGGAAATAGAAAATATGAACAGACCAATCACAAGCACAGAAATTGAGACTGTGATTAAAAATCTTCCAACAAAGAAAAGCTCAGCACCAGATGGCTTCACAGGCAAATTCTATCAAACATTTAGAGAGGAGATAACACCTAATCTTCTCAAACTCTTCCAAAATATAGTAGAGGGAGGAACACCCCTAAACTCATTTTACGAGGCCACCATCACCCTGATACCAAAACCTGGCAAAGATGTCACAAAGAAAGAAAACTACAGGCCAATATCACTGATGAAAATAGATGAAAAAATCCTCAACAAAATACTAGCAAACAGAAACCAACAGCACATTAAAAGGATCATACACCATGATCAAGTGGGATTTATCCCAGGAATGCAAGGATTCTTCAATATATGCAAATCAATCCATGTGATACACCATATTAACAAACTGAAGGATAAAAACCATATGATAATCTCAAGAGATACAGAAAAAGCTTTCAACAGAATTCAACACCCATTTATGATATAAACTCTCCAGAAAGTCGGCATAGAGGGAACCTGCCTCAACATAATAAAGGCCATATATGACAAACCCACAGCCAACACCATTCTCAATGGTGAAAAACTGAAACCATTTCTTCTAAAATCAGGAATAAGGTTGCCCAACCTTTGGTAAACAACAAGGTTGCCCACCCTCAACACTATTATTCAACATAGTTTTGGAAGTTTCAGCCACGGCAATCAGAGAAGAAAAAGAAATAAAAGCAATCCAAATCGGAAAAGAGGAAATAAAGCTGTCACTGTTTGCAGATGACATGATATTATACATAGAGAATCCTAAAGATGCTACCAGAAAAATACAGAGCTAATCAATGAATTTGGTAAAGTAGCAGGATACAAAATTAATGAACAGAAATCTCTTGCATTCCTATACACTAATGATGAAAAATCTGAAAGAGAATTTAAGAAAACACTCCTATTTACCATTGCAAAAAAAGAATAAAATACCTAGGAATAAACCTATCTAAGGAGACAAAAGACCTGTATGCAGAAAACTATAAGCACTGAAGAAATTAAAGATGATACAAACAGATGGAGAGACATAACATGTTCTTGGATTGGAAGAATCAACATTGTTAAAATGATTATAGTACCCAAAGCAATCTACAGATTCAGTGTAATCCCTATCAAACTACCAATGGCATTTTTCAGAGAACCAGAACAAAAAATTTCACAATTTGTTTGGAAACACTAAAGACCCCGAATAGCCAAAGCAATCTTGAGAAAGAAAAACGGAGCTGGAGGTATCAGGCTCCCTGACTTCAGACTATACTACAAAACTATAATAATCAGAGAGTATGTACTGGCACAAAAATAGAAAAATAGATCAATGGAACAGGGTAGAAAGCCCAGAGATAAACCCATGCACGTATGGTCACTTTGTCTTTGATAAAGGAGGGAAGAATTTACAGTGGAGAAAAGACAGCCTCTTCAATAAGTGCTGTGGAACGAAATTAGAACACTCCCTAACACCATACACAAAAATGAACTCAAAATGGGTTAAAGAGCTAAATGTAAGGCCAGACACTTTAAAACTCTTAGAGGAAAACATTGGCAGAACACTCTATGACATCAATCACAGCAAGATCCTTTTTGACCCACCTCATAGAGAAATGGAAATAAATACAAAAATAAACAAATGGGATCTAATGAAACTTAAAAGCTTTTGCACAGCAAAGGAAACCATAAACAAGATGAAAAGAGAACCCTCAGAATGGGAGAAAAGGTTTGCAAATGAAGCTACTGACAAAAGATTAATCTCCAAAATATACAAGCAGCTCATGCAGCTCAACATGAGGGTAAGGGTAAGCTGCGATGGAGTGAGAGTGGCACTGACATATATACACTACCAAATGTAAAATACATAGCTAGTGGGAAGCAGCTGCATCTCACAGGGAGATCAGCTCAGTGCTTTGTGACCACCTAGATTGTTGGGATAGGGAGGGTGGGAGGGAGGCACAAGAGGGAGGGGATATGGGGATATATGTATACATATAGCTGATTCACTTTTTTATACATCAGAAACTAACACAACATTGTAAAGCAATTATACTCCAATAAAGATGTTAATAAAAAAAGTGGATATTTAAAATTCATAGATATAAGGATCACTTCCACTAGAAGTGTTGTGTTGTTATTCAAGGGCATGCTTTATTTTTGATGTGACCTTATAGTGCAAACATTACCTCTGGACTAGAACGATTTCCTAAGGCAGACATGCATTCAGAAAAGACTGGCACATATGACGGTAATATGCTAGAATATCTATGGTGATGGGGGGAATAGTGACAAAATCTCTTTGTAGGAAATGGGAAATTACAGGCTCAAGATTTTCAAGGTACATTGTAGTTTCTAATAACCTTCGTATTAAATCAAAGTGTAAAGGTTTTGTACCACAATCAGACTACGCAAAGTTCTGGAAATGCTCTTTGTGACAAAGTTGCTGCAAAAATACATAGAAAAACCAAACAAAAACACTTGAATTGATGTTTGTCATAACTTTTCCCCTCCTACTTGTCCCTGGTGGATTTGAAGACAAAGCCAGTGTTCTGGTTAAACAAAGAGATTGTTCTGGGCATAACAATGTGAAATAAAAGATTTTCTGTCTAATTCTTCCCATATGTTGGACAAACTAAGTTTATTGTTTAGAGTACTTTGATGAAGCAGAAAAGTTAATGAAGTAAAAACAAGTAATGAATCCAGTAAATTCATTATAATCCTAAGTCTCCCACTGTCAGATGTTGCTATTAGTTGTTATTACATTGCCATTTCTCTAGGGTAGGATCTACAAATCATGTTTACATCTAACTAAAACAAGAATTTTTTCTAAAAAGAAAAATTTTTAAGGCTGCCATTTTTGAACACTTATTATCAGTTAAAAAATATGCTACTTGCTACGTAACAAGAATATATGTAACTTATATGTGAATTCTAACGTATAATTATATAATGGACAACAAAGAACTCTGCATTGAATTAAAAAATGCTACCAATGTTTTATATCTAAACTGGATGCTTGCTTCCTCTCTTCTCTTCACTCTGAGAATCAACACAGAGATTTATCATTCTCTTGTCTTAAATTTAAAAAAATATGTGTATGTAAGCCTAGATGATATAATATTATTTTTGCTTGTTTTGAGCTATAACATTTGTGTCATACTGGAAATAGCCTTCAGTTTCATGCTTTTTTCATTTAATTATGTATGTGAGAGGCCATCTATGTTGTTACAAATTGTAGTGTTTCCATCTATACTATTTTATTATTCCATGTGGGAGCACACTACAATTTATTTATCTATTTTCTTTTAGATGACCATTGGGTTTTTCTAATTTTACTTTATTACTATAAACATTGCTACTGTGAGCTTTTTGGAGCACGTGTGCAAGAGTTTCTCTAGTGTACATGTAAAAATTTCTTTAGAAGTGGAAATTCTAGGTTATGGGCTATGCACATGTTCTGCCTTTACAAAGTAACGCCACACTGTTTTCCACAGTGATTGTTTCAACTTACCCTAGTCCTCATGTAAGTGTTACAGTTAACCCTTATCTTCTCTAACACTTGATATTGTCAGATGTCTCCATTTTTGCCATTCAAGTTGTCATAAGTAAAATGTTTTATTATAAATGTGAACATTCACAGACAGTTTTAAATAAAAGGAGATAGTAATAAAATGGCAATCAAGGAAAAATTGATGTTGTTCATTCATTCAACAAATATTTATTGCCTACTGCTATGAAAAACATGAGTATATAAAGGAAAAAATGCAAAAAAAATGTTCTCCCTTTAAGGAGATTACAGTATACATAAAACTGAAACATTCAAATAATAGTACAAGACAGTATTATTATCATTTTTCAGGTTTCCTTCTCCTCTCCCTTGATATTCTTTGCCTCTATGACTTAGGACTTCCCAAGAAAGAAACTTAAGTGGTTTCTACCTTCAAAATGACTTTGACTGTCTGTTCTGTTTTATTCCTGCCATTTATTCTATCAGCTTACACTCAGTCCATTGCCACAATCTTCTATTGAAGGATGATCCAGATCTGAATATGAGCAGAATGGAGAGTTGGATGAGTGAGGCTTTTCTACATGGTGAAAAGATATGTAAGAAAGTAAAAGAAAACAAGGTGCAGGGTCTCAAATGGAGAATGAAAGAATTTGGACTTTATCCTGTAGACAGCAGGGAGCAGCTAACAGATTAAATTTTTTTTTCTTAGTTCCTGATTTACTCAGAAGGGATAAGAGATTATATTTAGAAGAGATTTCCTTTTTTTTTTTTTTTTTTGCGGTACGCGGACCTCTCACTGTTGTGGCCTCTTCCGTTGCGGAGCACAGGCTCCAGACGCGCAGGCTCAGCGGCCATGGCTCACGGGCCCAGCCGCTCTGCGGCATGTGGGATCTTCCCGGACCGGGGCACGAACCTGTGTTGCCTGCATTGGCAGGTGGACTCTCAACCACTGCGCCACCAGGGAAGCCCTCTCCTAGTGTTTTTATAGAACCTTTTCCTAGAGAGCCAAAGACACAGAATCAATACCAACACCCTTTTCTTATGGTAGGCTTGTTGATTTAGGCTCATCTGCACTTACTCTCTATTAGCCAGATACTGTGCTTGGTGATGAGACACGGAGAACAACACACAAAATATGTGCCTTGCAGTTTAGTGACTTTCAAACTTCAGTGTGCCTAAGAATCATTTTGGAGCCTTGTTAAAAATGTATATTGCTGATTCTTTTCCTCAGAGATACTAACTCAAAAGATCTGGCCTGGGCCTAGAAGCCTAAATTTTATCAGGTATTTCAGGTAATTCTGGTGCAGACTGTTGTCAGGAATCACTTGATGAAGGTTTAAGGCAGGACACAGACTTTATGATCAGATTGGTCATGTACTGGTTCCCCAGTTACTATCTGTGTGATGAAATGAGTTTCTAGTTCCTGGACTCACAGAGTCTCAGTTTTCCTATTTGTAAATTCCTACTTTATAGAATTATTGCGAAGATGTATGGAAGGTACTTAGCAAAGGGCCTCATCTGGAGTAGAAACTCATTAAGCGAGTGTCTTTGTTAGTATTAAAAAGCAAATCTGGACCAACTTTACTACTTTGTGCAATCCAGTTGGGAAATGTTCAAAGTAGGAGTCTGGGGATAATTGAAGAGTCTAGGAGGAATGGACTTATGATGAAAGGCAGGAATGATTCAGCATTTACATCTGTAAAAAGTTAAAAGGTTTAGAGTGGTTGTGGGAAGAGACATAGCTGAAGGGCATAGAGAAGACATCCCTGACCAATATGCCGAATAAGATGATTAGAGTATTTGATGCAACTAAAGAAAGGAAAGGGAAATTGCAGCAGTCTTCCTAACAATTGGCAGGGAGGGTTATGGTCATCTTGATATGTGGGAAGGAACAATAATTTTAAAAAAATGTTAAAATACCATTTCAACAAGAGTAAAAAAAAAAAAAAAAGCTGTTCTTTGTTGATAAATTAAAAAGAAAAATAAACAAACAGACAAACAACCACCCTAGGGAACTTTGTCTCCAAAGAGCAAAGAAACAAATTGAGGACTTGGTAAGGAATGGAGATCATCAGATTAGAGATACACATCCTGGGATTATTGTTATTTTTCAAATGTCATGCAGTTAGAGTGAAAATAATGAACTATACCTGTTTGTCATAACATTTTAGTGGTCTTATTAATTTATAATATAATTAAACCAAAAATTATTATTTTATTTTTTTTCAAAATTTTTTTTATTGTACTATTTTTAGCACTTTATTCACAAACTTTTATATAGTGCTTGAGTAAGGAGTTTCTGAACAATGGAAATAATCACTATTTTTGTAAAAGCTTATACAGTATGTGGTGTATGAGGCAATAAAAGTAAATTAAAAAGTCATTAAAAGTGAATTATTGGAAAAATAATTTACCTTTGTGAATTGCTTGAACCCTAAAGCAGAGGACCGGATAGTCTTTTATTGAAACAGGAAAACCCATATGGCCCTAACCTACCTGGAGATCTTTAAGCAATGTGCCAGTATAGAGAACCAATCTAAAGCTGCCAAAAGCCAATCGGAAAGTCTCCTCATCTTATTTCCCCAAATCCCACCCACTAGAAAATCCCACCTTAACAGAACACTGACCAATCAAAGACTTTCTTAAAATATTCTCCTTTTGCTCTATAAAATTTACTCTCCTTTCAAGCCCCTTCCAGTCTACCAGAACTAAACAGATAGTAGCTGACTTTTTACTAGAGTTAGCTCTGAATAAACAGCATTTGATTAATTCTGTATGTGGTTTTCAACCTTCTGACAATTTTAATAAGGATTAATTTTTAGTATTCCTTATTCACAGCCATATACTGTGATAATGTATCACTCAAGATCACAGAACCTGTGTCACATCATCGTCCCCATACACGTAGAGACACATCACAAAACATATACACGAATTTTTTCAGCAAGCAGCTTCTTCCCCCATAGAAGCAGAATATACAATCCTTCAGTGTTTTAGCAGAAATAACTCCAGAGAAAGTACCTTTATGTTGGAACATTTGGTTCATTCTGGATGACAGTGTCATAACTTCACTGAATCGTCAGTTTTTTCTCAGTTTACTGCTATTGGCCTACCTCTTGCCAACCTCTTCTGCCGGGTGATGGACATGATCCATCCTCACACCTTTATTGTCTGTCAGTTTTGAAGAAGTGGGGAAAGACCAGGAGATGGGACAGGAGCAAGTGTCAGCTGTGAGAATGGAAAAAGGTATAGTTAAATACAGAGTGAAACAAAAATCAAATAATGATTTGTAACTAAGCAGGTTAATGCTTGCCTGATACATTCTAATGCTTTGTAAATACTTTAAAATAAATAAATTGGTCATTAATAAGAAGAGTATCCGTTCTTAGTCCTCAAATTAAGTTCATTCCTCTCCCACCCATGATTATAACTTGAAACAGGTAGTGGGTGGGATTGAGGGTACTTTCAGAGCCAATCTCACCTATAAATGAGTCAGATAGTTAATGTGGTTTGGTAGATTCCTAAAAGTCTATTCCTCCAGAATTTCTCCCATACTCAATGGCCATGGTGACTAAAACTTTTAGCACTGGAGGAATCTACTTTTAGAGAATCCTGGTGAATTGATTATATCTAATTTAGGAGCCATTTAGAAGTCTCAATAAGGTATCTGGAAACGACACATTGTTATGTTATTATCCATTAATCCTTAATATTGACTTGTTTATAGGATTGAGAGTTTCAAAGGACATGATTCTGAGGGAATGGGAGTAATTATTCAAACAGGAACGGGAGTCATAAGAGCTGTAGGTAAGAGTGGGACACAAAATTTACTCATGCTGAAATTTTGGATAGGGTTGCCGAAAAGTATTTCTCTATGTTGTTAATTACATGCAGTTGGAATCTCTTCTTTCAATTTCCCTTCCCTCCTCTCCTCTCCTCTTCCCTCCCCTCCCTTTCTTTCTTCCTTCTCTCTTTCATTTTACATTTAATTAAAGTAAAATCTTACAATTGAAGATCCTGTTAAGGGGTAAAATTGAAATGCCTAATTGGTATGATTTAGCATTCATTAATCACATAGATCAAAATATTGATAGTTTTAAGAACGTTGGCAGACCTCACTGGGGAGAATGTAAAATGGGATAGTTGCCCAGCTCACCTCTGGAGAAAAGGTTTAGCATAAACATGACCTGAGAGGATGAGCAAGTCCCACCCAGATCACAGCAGGCCTGACTGCAGTCTTATTACATGGCCAGCTGACTTGTCTGGGACCTAGGGAACTACCCATTAAATGAGGTCAGCAGTTGTGAAGAAAAGAAAGCTTGCAAAGGAAAATATCTCAAGTACTGAGCCTAGGGTGTATGCCGGGAATCAAAATAATGTAAGGGAATTTATTAACAACAGCTAACGCTTATTGAGCACTTACACGATTTCAGGTACTGTTCTAAGGATTTACATGTTCTAACTCATTTATTCCTTACAACAACCCTATTAGGTAAGTATTAATTTTATCCCCTGTTATGGATGAGAACCTCATCAATATTAACAGTAGCGCAACGACCCTTCTTGTGCGTGTCTCATGGTGGTCCGTCCAAGAGTTTCTTTAGGGTACCTACTTAGGAGTGGAAGTGATGGATCAAAGAGAATGCACATCTTCTCCTCACTAGGTAAGACCAAATTGTTTTCCAAATAGATTGCACCATTTTACCCTCCCAGTAACACATGAAATCTCCCAATTTCTTTATGTGGTCAGGCTTTCAAACTTTTGCCAATTTGAGGGGTGTGAAATTGTATCTTATTTAACTTTGGATTTCTCTGATTACTAATGCTTTATCATATTTTCATATGTTTATTGGCCATTCTGGTTTCCTTTTCTAGGAATTTACTCTTTTTATTCTTTCCTCATTTTTATCGTTGTACTTTTTTATTGATCACATGTGATTATACGCTTTGGCTACTAATTTTCTGCTGGTTATACGTAGTGCAAATATCCTTTCCAAGACTTCCTCCCTCCCTTCCTTCCTCTTTTCCTCTCTCTTACTCTTTTTCTCTAGCATTTTTTGATGTACATCAGTTTTACATTTTAATATGGTCAATTTATCAATCTTTTCCTTAACGGTTTATTCTTCCCATCCTGAAGGCCTAAAGATATTTTCCAGTATATGGTAACCTCATCTTCATCATGTCCTAAGTTCTCAAATATTCTGTTTCTGGGCTTTCTTTCTGATCTATTTTTCTTCTTTTTATCTTAAATCCCTGAGACAATATCACATCGTCTCAATTACTTTATAGTTAGCCAAGAGATCACAAGGGTGATTCTCCATACCTTATTCTTCTTCTTCAGTATTGTATTTCTTTATCTTGAATCTTACTATTTTTCTTCAATATTATATTTAGGATTCTTGGGTCTTTGCTTATTCTTATACATTTGATAAAAAGTTTTGTTAACTTCAATAAACTGACCTTCTGTGAGTTTGGATGTAACTGAATGATTTAACAGATTAATTTGGGGGTGTAGATTTCCATTTATTTAGATCTTCTTCAATGTTTTCCAATAATATTTTATAATTTTTTTCATGACATCTTTTGTTAGATTTATCTCTGGTATCTTATTGCTGTTATAAATGGAAACTTAAAAAAATTTCATTTTCTAGCTGTTTGCTATTGGTGTATGGGAGTATGATTGATTTTCTGCATTGATTGTTACATTGACCATGCATCTAGCAACATTACTAAAATCTCTGATTAATTGTAGTTATTTGGCTATCAGTTCTCTTGTGAAAATAACACTTTTATTTTATCTTTCATATATGTGTGTATACATATATATATATTAAAAGCACACACACATATATATATAACATATATGTAGATATCATAATCTAAATAAACATCTACATATCTATGTATCTATAACTTATATACCTATCATCTATCAACTATTATCCATCTTCTTATTCTTGTCTTACAGAGCTAGCTAGGTCTTCCAATACAATATTATATGGCATTATTGACAGGGAGCGTACTTCCAGTGTTTCAATCTTTAGTGTCATCTTTGCTTTAGGCAAAGAGGAAATTTCCTCCTACTTTTGGATAGGCTAGGTTAGGCTGTAATAACAAATGATCTTAACATTTCAGTGGCTTTCAAAGAACAGTTTATGTCTGGCTCACACTTTTTCTCCATTATAGGTCAGCTGTGACTCTGCTCCCATCACCTTATGCCAGGTAAAATGATAATGGAGTTGTCTCTGTAATATTACCAGTTACATGGTGAACAGTGTCTTGGCTCCTAAAGTTTCTGCCTGGGAGGGGCATGACACATCTCTTATGCTTATATTTCATTGACCAAAGGATGTCTACTGGCCGTGCCTGATTTAAATAGGTTGGGAATATACAATCCTCCCTTAGTGGGAGGGTATCATAAAGAGAGGCTGCAAATATTTTGAACACTAGTATAATCGCCCACAGTGGGTAGAGTCAACTGCTTTAATACATATGTCTATTTAAGTTTTATAAAGGCTTTTGTCCACAGTTTAAAACTTATGGAGTTATTTTATTCTCCCCCCTTTCTCTTTTTCTAAACCCAAGAAAGAATTTATGAATAAACAAGTAAACTTTCCTAAGTCTGAAAAGTCTTGTTTAAATAATCAACATCTTTCTTCACTTAGTTAAAAAGCTTTTGGGGTGAGAATACTTATCCTCTGAAGCTAACTTATTGGCATTCTTCTGTGTCTTGGGTCTGCTTATAACTGTTGTGATAGACACAGGAGAGCTAAAAAAATGCATACTTTTTTTCTTGATATAAAACCTATGCCCCTGGGCTTCCCTGGTGGCACAGTGGTTAAGAATCCACCTGCCAATGCAGGAGACATGGGTTCTAGCCCTGGTCTGGGAAGATCCCACATGCCACGGAGCAGCTAAGCCCGTGAGCCACAACTACTGAGCCCGCATGCCACAACTACTGAAGCCTGCGCACCTAGAGCCTGTGCTCTGCAACAAGAGAAGTCACCGCAATGAGAAGCCCACACACTGCAACGAAGAGTAGCCCCCGCTCACCACAGCTAGAGAAAGCCCACACACAGCAATGAAGACCCAATGCAGCCAAAAATAAATAAATTTTAAAAATAAATAAAATAAACAGACAAACAAACATGTGCCCCTGAGATTTTTCATATGAGGGTAATGGATATTAGAATATTGTCTTCCATGATTGACATTGTCTTAGGGGACAGCATTAGGGAATCCATAATGGTTTGAGATTATGATTGGTTGTCTGTATTTTAGGAAATAATATATTTTTTAAAAGATAGGAAAATCAAAAGGGAAATATTGGAAGACTCATTTGTCATATATTATAGATTATCACTGTGGAATGTGAATTAGTATAGTAATGGGAAGGTATATGTGTGCGTGTGTGCCTGTGTGTGTATATGTGTGAAGAGAAGAAAGTTAGAGAAGAGATTGTAATAACTGCCATAAAAACCTTTTATGCAAGTTTTCTGCTGTGTCAGACTTGAGAAGGGTACAGTCTGCTTCCATGGTGTTCCTGGGCATGAACGTCAGTTGAACAGCCCAGGACTCTGAGGTACTCTGGCTGAGTAGAGAACCTCAGTATGCTTGCATCTCAAAGACTGAGATCAGAGTTTTTTACACTCTTTTTTCTCATCTATTTTACTTTTTCCTTCTTTTGAGTAAGTAACCCAGGGCCAAATCATTTAGTCATATGTATTGTATTAGATTTCTAAAACTGTACACTCATTTTGAACACTTACCTTAAAAGTTTTACCTATTTTTAAAAATAATATTTCAAATATTTTAAATATAAAAACTTCTTTAGTTTTCAAACATCATTATGTGAAAACTACAAAAGTAACTGAAGGCATAGGTAGAAAGATTCTTGGAATGGGGGTCAGAATGCTTGAATCCAGACTCTTAATAAGCTTCTTTCTAGTTATGGGACTTAGGTGAATAGTATAACCTCTCTGGGTCCCCTTATTCCCAGTGGTTAAAATAAGGGGGTGGGAACAGGTAAAATTCATTGAGTAGTTTTTCACTAGGGTTTCTAAAATAACTTCTCTTATTGCATGTATTCTCTTCAAGGTAGGTCGACCTCCTTCAACACAAGAATGAGGAAGTAGGTGGCAAAGAGAAAAGGCTCTATTCTTATAATTAAAGTTAAAATATTTTTGGAACAGCTAGCACAAGTCTATAATTCCTTAGCTAAGCATACA